TACTTTGCTTCTGCAGGGATCCATGTGAAGATTAAATTGTGCAAAATAGTAGCAAAAGATCTCCTCGTGAAAGAGCTCATCCAACGAAGGCTGTTACCTTATTTATCTATTTCTGCCACCAAGCAGTAACATGAGCATTACAGCGTGAAATTATAGGCACATGGAACTTATGTCTCAGGGTGACGGGCGCGGTGGTAGTGATCCTCAGAACTTTGCAATTTAAGCTCTGAGTGTTACTGTAACTGCTATTGACAGGAATTGTCACTTGCCACCAGGCGCACGACTTGTTCGTCCTGTCATTTGCTAAAAAAAAATCTGTCATAATTGTACAACCCTTCCTCCTAACAAAATTAATAAAATGAATAACACAAGCGCAAGTACAGTCACCAACAGTCACAAACACCACCACAAAAAAATTTAATGTAAAATCGTCTGCATGAACACAATACTTAACACAAGCGCAGTCATTTTTAATATAATACTTTAAATTTTTTAATTTAACTGCCTCTGTGGCCGAACGGTTACCATGCCGGACTGCCACGCAGAGGTCCCAGGTTCGATTCTCGGGCCGGGAGAAATGTTTGTATGGCTTACATTTATTTCACATTTACATTTATTGTGTGTCCATGGCACCCGCGACACAGGGTTTCCCTAGTGCGGGGCTATGTTGAGTGTGTGCGTTATTTATTTATTTATTTAATAATAATAATAACGCACACACTCAACACAACATAGCCCCGCACTAGGGAAACCCGGCCCATGGACACACACATAGACATCCACATCCAAACTCACGAGAATGTTGCTCCCGGCTTGGGAATCGAACCTGGGACCTCTGCGTGTCAGTACGGCCACGTCGGCAGTAAAGGCAGGCAATTTGTACGATATAAACGTAACGCCTGAGTGTATTAATTATTTAAAATTTATTTTCAAACAAACAAATTTATCTTTTTATAAATTATTCATATAAATATTAATAGCAATCAATCAATATTTCACAACAGATAAACAGTGGCAATATAGTCCATTAGATTGCAGGGGTTGTCTCCTCTCTTTAGTCTGAAGTAGCCCTGTTCTCCCCAATGGGCACCATGACTATTCTTGATTATCCAATAGGGGACCCCTTCAGCTAAATAAAACACACACATAATTATGGGTAGTAATAAAAGCTCCGAAAAGTAAATTGCAAATGAGCTTATTCAAAATGTTAATATTATTGCGTTATTTACTTATGCTGCCCAAAACTTTTGTACAAATAGGAATACAGAAAAAACCGAATGAAATATTGAAAGTTCTGACACTATTTTTACTATTTGAAATCTATTTTCAAATCTACAAACTTATCTCTTTTTAAATTACTTACTTTAACAGTAATAGCCATTAATAAATATTTCACAATATCAACAGAATTAACAGGCATCGAAACTGACACTAGCTCAAGCCTAGTAGCTGGCATTATAATGTAAATGACGTAGTCTCAAACTAGGGAAATTCTTGTACTATGAGTACCAGAACAACGGAATTCACTCTTGGACACTTCCTAGATCACCCTAACCAAAACCAATTTAGAAAAGTTGATTTTCCCAAATTGGTTCTTATGAGAATCGAACCCAGGACCTCCGCATCCAGCGCCCACAATGTTAACCGTTAAGCCACCTAGGTCATCAAATTTCAATTTAAAAAAATCATTAAGGGTAAAAATAAATTCAAGGAGCCAACGACGAGTTGAAGTGATAGAGATGGTAAAGAAGACGACAAAATACTGTATCGATCTCAAATTATAGTTTAAGGGAAGGAGCATGACGAATGATAGATACACATTGTGTAATTCATACTAGTCTTACCAGTCCCAAATCCAACAATAAGCACGGAATGATTTAGTAATCTTCTAACGTTACACTGAAAATTTTCAGCCGTTGCAATCCCTCTTCTGTATTTCGGGAAACCACTGCTAATTAAAAATCCTGTACGAAAAAAATTTGCAAACTTATAAAGTTGAATAGTTAAATTGCAGTAACGTTAACTCTATGCCGCTTGTGACAAAAAAATTTCAATTCAGTCAGTTAGCACTTAAAAACGTTCAAACTTGAACGTTTTGAAGGACTTGTATGTCGCGTCAGTTGGTAACGTAAAAAAAATCAACTTGCATAATAACTTGTTATTAGATACCACCAATTTTATGTCCACCAAATTTTCGTTAAATAGAAAACGAACAATAATGAATAAAATTTTTAGAATTACTAATTTCAATAATTTCACAGTAATACCTGCTGCTACTGGTCCATAACTGTATACCAATTCTCGCAGTTGCTCTTCACCGGTGACGACATATCTAAGAGCATTTTTAATCCTTGCAACTGCCCTTGTTACATCGAAACGACAAGCTGTCTGGAAACCCAGGTAGCGGTATTCAGAATCTGGCATAATACCTCCTTTCTTTGCTGCTGAACTGAAAACAAGCACATCAACAAATTACTGAAATGACTATGCAATAAAAAACTTAATTTTACAGAATTTATCATCATAGTTCAATAAGAAAAATATGGTATCAAGCTCCCGCCGCGTGTCATGTATTGAAGCACACATGCGCTGTACTCACGTTGCATCACACTTCGTAGATGAGCTAGTTATCCTCCAGTCCCTCCAGCCACTGAGGTTATTAGGAACTGGAGAGACGCTTCGGGGAGTAAGCGTGGCTTACAGCTCCGCCACCGAAGAGGAGATTTAGTAATGGACTTTAGAGTCAATGGCTTAGCGGTGGCAACCGTTATGAGAAGAGAGCGTGTCTACAGCTCCGTTGCCTACCTGGAAAATAGGGAGGGTACTGTGCGTGGAACTGGGGCTGCTCACCCATGGCTCTAGCCTTTCGAGAACTGGATGAAGTCCGTGCAAACGGGTTGATCTTTTTTTTTTTTTATACATGACAGGCAAATGACTCCACTCCACCTGATGTTAAGTGGAAAGTGGTATCCAAACGCGAAGGAACCTAGTGCAGCGATGGAACCCTCACTGCACTAGCCACCTCCACCCTGCCTGCCTACAATATGCCTCTTCACGCCTCGTTTGAAGGACCCCATATTATAAGAGGGAGGGAAGACATGTGCCGGAAGGGAGTTCCATTTGTCAACCGTGCGGCAGAGGAAGGAGCCACCGAACCTTTCAGTACGCGATGGAATGCGGCAGGTAGTGAAACGGTGACTACGAAGGCCAGCACGCGTGCTTCTGAGCAGGAACGGGGAAGGGGGGATGAGGTTGAACAGCTCTTCAGAGCACTCACCATGGTACATGCGGTAAAAGGCGCTAAGCGATGCAACATCTCTACGCAGTTGCAGAGGTTCAAGGCGTGATGAGACCTCTTTGTCGCCTATAATTCGAGTAGCACGACGCTGTAATTTATCCAAGGCATCGAGTAGGTACTTGGCGGAGCCGTCCCACAAGTGCGAACAATACTCAACGCAAGACCGGACCTGTGTTTTGTACAGCAGGCATAACTGGTCCGGCGTGAAAAAACGTCGCACCTTGTTCAGGACTCCGAGTTTCCGTGAGGCTGTTTTGATCACAGATTCGATGTAGCTCCTTGGATTCAAATCACAGCAGATTTCCATACCGAGCATGGTAAAAAAAAGGTGATCTGGGGTGACCTGACCTGACTTCTTTTTTATAATATCAAGGAACGGGACGAACAAGTCGTGCGCCAGATGGTAAGTTACACGCCTGTCTTTAACAGTTGCACAGTTAAAAATGCCACTAACAGCTTTAATCGCAAAGATTTGAGGTGCACTGCCACTGCTCATACGGTAAAATATGAGTACTGTTTTAAGTATACTTGTACCACCTGTTGTAAACCATATTTGAAGCAAATAAATATCATTAATTAATTCACCCTGTGATAAAAGTTGGCAAATCCCATGTGCCCGTAATTTCACCAGCACCCTACTCTTCAAAACCGGAACGCAGTAATGCTCACATTACCGCTTGGCGTCAGAAATAGGTAAAGTGGCAGTACTTCCCTGAGCGAGCACTTTCACAAGGAGCTCTTCTGCTGCTAGATGAGTAGGTCCCTTTGCGGGCTTGTTTGCACAAGTTATAGTGCCCTTCTCGTATAACCAAGAGGTTTGTAGTGAACATACTATTCGTCCTAACGCGGCTTTCATTATTATGCGAATGTGTGCATCCGCAAACGGCGTGCGACGGCCGTGCACATAAAACGCACTGCTGAGTGTGAATAGAGTTACCATACTTGTCTTATTGTACTACGTTATCATTTTAATGCTAGTTTCAATTCACGAAATCGAGACCTTGGAAGATCATCAACATGGTAACTTGTAAGTCACCGAAAAAATAGAACAACCTTCAAATGAACGTGCCATATTTGGGCTACAATAAAACAGTTACCTTAAATAACAATCTTTGCAGAGAAACTTATGTCATAGTCGAATCAACAACAATTTTTGCTTTACTGTGACATGTAAAACAAAAATTGTTGTTGAGTTGTCATACTAACTTAATTGCAATGTGGGGAAATGTCATGCTGTCCAAGCACCCTTTTCCTTGATGCATACAGTCAATCAACTGTTGAGTTGAAAGGGTTACTAGTTTTTTGTATTTAATAGCGTATTGTCCTTCCATTACGCCTAGAAATAGAAAGCACATTTTAAAGTTTTATACATCCACCAACATTGAACTGGCCACTGTAACTCTTGCACAGGGAAATTAACTATATAACATTTGGAACAACGTCTTTATATTAGTTTGTATTCATTTGTAGAGATTCTCTCCGAAGACATTTTCATACCTATAATGTATCAAAATATCTTGCTCAAACGAATTTTATTAAGTACCTATATTTGGCATAGCCATCGATCCTTTAACAAATACTGAACCGCGCCGTCACTCCGCCTTCAATCAAAAGCAACGGAAGACAGATCGTTGCTCAGCCCGAATTCGCCATTCGAAAACGATTGTTCCTAAAGATGGAAGATGTGTATACCTATTAAGTAGTAAAATAGCAGTACACAGTATAAGTACACTTGGTTAAATGTAATTTGAGAAGTAAAGGTAAACTAATAAAAAATGCTGATACACGATTTAAGTATTAAAAATTAAACCGTCATTATGGATTCCATTACACGTATATTGGATAACGAGGACGAGGATAAACTTGCTAACGATGCTATATCTGATGGCGTGAGCATAATTTGTAAAGCAACTGCTACTGAACTTATTTCTCTGGGAGGAAATTTCACTAGCAAGAGGCATTTGGTACAGGACGATGCAACCACAGCTTCTTCGAAAGCCTTGGTTTAATGGTGTGGGTCTCTATAGGGAATCTCTTAAATCTAGTCACGTTCCACTAAATAAATTTTAACACTTGATAGCCTTATATCATTTATGTCAACGCCTTACCCCTCTGCGATTACTGTAAATTAACTGACTTGATCCACCTTTTAGTACAGTGTTAAAAGCCTTGTTACAAAAATAAAGAAAAATGAGCATTTGCTTTTTTTTGTAATGTAAATTTATATGAAGTCCCACTCACCCGTGGCACTATATGCCCAACAAGATCTACAAGAGCCCTGATTTCCAACTGCTGATACTTTCCCTAATTTTGACCAATCCCAAGAATCAGGTATAGACCTTACACTTGTCTTATACGTAAAATTTACAGTAAAAGTATCCATTTCAGGTTCAGAGACTCCCGCCACACCAGATTTATATATAAATTCTTCGATAGTCATGTCACTGTATTCCGTAACTCCATACACATCAGTACCTTCACCAGTGTTCAATTTGTTCACATCTTCCAAATTTGCTCGGAATATTTCTAAGCGCTTTTTGTATTCATCTGTACTCTTGTAGGTTTTATTATAGGTTTCTAGATAGCTTTGAAAAATGTGCTCAGTTTCACTTATATTAAAAATTATACGTCGGGTTGCAAATATGCCCGATGTAGTTGAAACTAGAACAATAGATACTAAATTGAATATTATGGGTAGAAATATGAATTTTCTGAACATTACTAGGAGCACTAAAAACTTTGAAATTTTTTACTACTTTAATGTAACGCTATGCTTGAAGGTTGGTTCTGTAATGTAAGCACGTGAAATAGCGATAACGTTTTGTAAACAAAAACTCAATAATTTTTTTGTTTTTTTTAGCAATTTTTAATAGTAACTAGTTCCTCGCGATTATATATTGTGTTGTTCGGTTGTGTCATCTATTTTGTATTTAAATGTTAATTCACGTAATGGGATATATCACATTTTCTTCATCGTCGTTAACCTATTTTATACGTGCCATTGCTGGGTACGGGTCTCCTCTCAGGCGAGGGTATAGGCCATAATCCGCCTCTCTGGCCCAATGAGGGTTGGAGACTTCACACGTTTTCCGAGTGTTGTGAATCTTCTTTGACATGCAGTTTGAAAGGTAAGGGTGCTGGTGAAATTACAAGCAAATAGAACTAGTCAACTTATGTCTCAGGATGAGGGGCACGGTAGCAGATCTTTGTGATTTAAGCACTGAGTGGCATTGCAACTGTTATAGACAGACGTGTCGCTTACCACCAAGCATGCCGAGCGACTTATTCGTCGTCGTCGTGATTCAATGGTTTTTCCAAAATTGGCATTAGAAGCTATGGAATACTAATGGAATACTAATAAATAAATAAACAAATATTAGACAAAATCACATACATACGTTGCTTTGTGATGATCACAAAGTAAGTAACTAAAGCGCTTATGTTATGGAAATCGGAAACAACGATCGATGGTACCATAAACATCAGCCCGAGACAATAGACAAAAGTTAGTTTTATACATTGACCAGGCCGAGGATCGACACCATGAAGATCGGTGTGAAAGCCACGCGACCACGAAGGTCATCGATAGAATACTAACAGAAAACTGTCTTTTCTTCTTTCTTCTTTCCGAAAAACAGTCAAGTAGTCGTTCTGAGTGAAGGCACTTTGAGAAAACTCAGGTGGCAAAGTTTGAAGAGCAGACTGTCAGACATGGACACGAAATGATGCTGGTTCTTCTTAGGCTGAAATACCTGCAACCATCTATTACTACTGTGTCGACGATGCCCTTATATGTCGCTTCTATTCGCCAACGTTTACCAATAAGATTGGCTACTATAGCCTTCTATGGACACATTAAAAAGCAAACAACCGTAACTCTTATTCTAAACAATAGCAGTCGGTGTAGACGAAACCGGCTAAGATGATATGTATACTAATAGTAGAAAAATATCAATTTGTACCAAGCCGCCTAAGAAAATGCAATTTGGGCATCCGCAGTAAACGGAAGATGAGCAATCGGGCTCGGACGTACCCAGGTCATAAATCAAACGGCAAATCTCGCTGCCGTGGGAACCCATACAGATGGTATGACTAGCCTTGTGGGTACTACTTAACAGCTTTATTTTGGAGGCTTATATGAAATAATTATCGTTCGGGATTATGATGAAAGAATCGCGAAATCCAATGGGTTAATTCAAAAAGTATTGTAGATTTTATTATATTTTTAGTAGCAGTACCTGTCACTTTACTCATTATTGTCGCCGAGCTGTAATGTGAGCATTATTGCTTTGCGATTATGAAGGGGAAAAGTTGCTGGTGAATGTACAGCCTCGTGGTACTTGTCTACTTATGTCTCACGGTGATGGGTGCAGTGGCAGTGCCTTCCAGATTTTGCGGTTTGAAGCTCTGACACCGCAACTGCTATGGACAGGCGTTTCGCTTACTACCAGGCGCACGACTTGTTCGCCCCAGTCCCTTCACTCCGATCACAGGTCCTCAGTTGCCAGAACGCTAATGATAAGCAAGATAATTGGTCGAAACACAAGTTTGAGCCAGAATTTAGTGTTTGCAACCCGCCTATTTACCGATAGATACTACGGAATGGGCATGGTATAGACTCTACCAGCAGTAGGTATATTAATGACGATATTCTTTTTGTTGACTGTACAAATAGCACACAAATTTTTAAAATGGAAGGTCTCTCGGATTGACTATAAGGGACTTAAAGGCATAACAGTTTAAAACAGTCGCGCTGCAAAAAATTGGTTATAATAAGAAAAACTGTAAAAAATCTGAGATTTGTCTGAGTTTTGTGCCAAATAGAAACTGTTTCATCGAATTTCACGAGGCTGAAAGTTAGAATACATATGTTTATGTTAATCTCTTACGTTCATTCCTATTTTACAATTTAAAAAAAATTGTAAATTAGATTTTAATAGTAATAACGTCTAAATGATAGAAGTAATATCTTGTTTATTCAGAAGATATATTTATTTTTTATTCGTTTTTTAATTTTATATTTAATAGGTATATTTTGTGTTTTTTTATATTCAATAAATAATATTTTATTCAAGTATTGCTTTAACTTAATTGCTAATTAGTCCACTTACAACCGTTCAAAATTTAAATGGACACTTAATATAGTGCCGTCGTCCTACATATAGGACATAGTGAAAATTCGGTTTTTTGAACAAATATTTTTTTCAATATTTTTCCCATACTTTCTTAAATATTAACGACAATCCCTAAAAGTTTCATAAAAATATTCTAATAAAAGGTCTCTGAGTAGGCGGAGGCTAGAACTCATGGTAGACCATGAAACTTTATTTAGTGTTAACAATTCATTCTATTTGTGAATAGCGAAAAAATTGCAGAAAAAGAAAGATTTGAAACGATATTCATTACCTTTGCTTATCGAGTTCTCAGGTTTTCGCAATTGTTACACATAGGAAATGGAACAATTTTTTCGCATCTAAATCGCGTATGTTTGTTTTTTCAAACAAACTAACGTACCGGGCCCCTTACAAGTCCGTTGGTCACGGCTGACTGGGATGGAGAAATCATCAACTGATGACTAAATAGTTTCATTATCTTTGCTGTAACACTGCTTAGGGGTAGGCAGCTCAAAGCAGTTACCCTTAACTTTGAGCCAAAAGAAAACTAAGACAATAGATATGAATTACGATTCTTTTTATTAAGAGTTTTAGCGTGGAATAAGTCCTTTGAGCCAAAGTAGTTCTAACACATTATGTTTTCAATTTCTCATAAGTAACTTAGGTAATTAATAGATTCAGGCGTTACTTTGCGGAAGTCTATGTTAATAAAAATGGAAATAAATTAATTTGCTACTCCGCTATCTTGCACGATTTAACCTTCACCGGGACCGCGGAGTAACAAATTAATTTACTTCCATTTTTATTAAGTAACTTAGTTCACTTATTTGGGTTTTTACATACCTAGTGTTTTAAGCGGCGAGAGTCAATATTTATATTTTAACTTTCACTTAAATCACATTACCTTCTATCACTTTGAACAAAAACTTTGAATTCGTAATTAGTGGAATTTTCAGGACAAAGTCTTTTGTAATTTGGCTTAAGATAAGGAATATTATTTCAACTTTCTTCATCACTATTTCTTTCTTCGTTTTTTCTTCTTAATATACTTACAATAAAAATAATATTTGTAAAGACTGTAGTTGTAACTTCAAAAGCCCGCAATTTTATTTATTATTAGTTACGACCTTGACACTAATTGAAGTCGTATTTTCTTTTCGCCGAGGGCGTGCCTATAGCGGTTACTAGGTTTTTGGCAAAGCGGACACGTGCTATTCTGCGGAAAATAATAATTGTGAAAGGTGATAACATTAAATTCAGTGCGAATGTGATAGAAACTATTATTTTGGATAGATACCTAGTTATCTACAAAAAATCTACTCGTACAAAAACATCAACAGAACATATAAAACAAGATTTGCAACTTTATACATTTTTAGAAACCTAATTTTCTTTGAATCCTTTTATAGCACACGCCATTGACGCCTCCTCCCACGATGCCTGTGTTGTCTTTTTGCTTATAATTGTTCACCATCTACAAGAAACAACTTTGCTATTTATACATTTCATATTCATATAGCTTCTAGGCAACCGCTTTCCCGAGCCGCTTTGCCTTTATGACCATTTTATTTTAAAATGAAATTCAATACAAAGTTGTAACTATACCTTCAAACAAATATTACAAAAACACTGCCAAATAGATGCAAAACAATACAATTATAGCAATAATATACAAAAAAAGTAAAGTTTGATCAAAGCGAAATAAACTTACGTCGCATTTTTTTTTCAAAACGGAATTCATTAAAATTTTCTGCACACGAGTGTACGCGCGAGGTCCTGCAGGTGCAAAGCGACTGCCCCGGGGAAAGCAGGGAGGTAGGCCATGTCGCCTCGTTTATAGGAATCTGTAATATTTGAAACGAACGAGTAACCGACCATAACCGCTTTGTTTTCTATGGCTATTTTGAGCTGACTTCCCCTACTTAGTAATTTTCAAACATCCGTCAAAAGTACATTATCTGAAAATATTCAAGATACTTATTCGCAATAGTGCAATTTGCGTAAGTCTTAATTTATTTTGTCACAAAGCAAAAGCATTGGGACAAAATTAATTGCCTAAAGGTAAGCTTTTCAATTCAAATCATTGTTTACACAAGGCGTTCCCGTTTTTCCTAACCCCTTTTAGGATGTAAATAAGTGTTAAAACCACAGGATGATCCCTTAAGCGATTCTTTGTCTGTTTTCTTTGAAAACAGCCGATATATTTGTTCAGATATACCTTTTACATTTTCGTTGATTGTGTTTTGAAACAATTTATTTGAGGAATGGTGTTACTCCGTTGCTGTAGACATTTGAGAATGCAAAATTATCATTGTAGTTTTGTTCTAGAACTCAAATACTAATGCATTGGAAATATGAACCATATCCCTTACCGTATCTTACGTTTAGGTACTTTATATTTAGTACAATTAAACGTACTTTTATGCAGGGTTTCCATTTGGGTATTCCATTAGCAACAAATTGATAAAAATGGCCTTTATTTTTGTTTCAAAATCCTCAGATATAATTAGAGGTGGGCGTTTAAACGAAAAGCACTTAAAAAGTCTGCTTTTTAAAATAAGCGCATAAGCTCGCTTTTCATTTTAAGCGTAAGCGTTGGTAAGGTCTATAGATACTCAATAATTTCATTTTTTACAACTTGCCTAAGTTTCAAGTAGCGCCATCTATGTTTCCTAAACAAATTAATTCAACACAACGTTGCAAGCTTTTTTAAACATAAAGTCTATGCGCTTAAACGTTTTTCTAAACAACTTTTTAAGCGTCAAACTAAAAAGCGTTTATGTGAAAAGCGTTTTTACAAGCACGCTTTTTGAATGTACATTTTAACGTTAAAAAATAAGCAGTTTTTTCCATTTCAACTGTTAACAACTACAAAAGTTAAACAACATGTTTTTAAACGCTTTTAAACGCCAATGAACAAGATGTTAATATAGTAATGTTATGTCATAAATAAAAATATATTAGTGGTCTACTCTTGCGTTTCGCTATGAACAACAACGTTGCAAGCTTCTTTTAACACAAAAGTCTATGCGCTTAACCGTTTTCTAAACGATTTTGTTAGTTTCAAACTAAAAAGCGTTTAAGTGGAATAGCGTATCAAAAACTACGCTTTTTAAAAAAAAAGCATAACGTTTAAACGTTTAAAATAATCTTTTCCATCTCTAGATATAATAGTATCAATCAGTATCGTTGTATCAAACTTTGTAAACACGCCCCGTTTTCGACAGTGACAGTAACAGCTGATCGTTTGACGTTTCTCGCGAGTGTCTAACCTAAAACCGTCGGCTCGTTATCCGGTTTTATTTAAAAAATAAGCGATTTTCATTATAATAAAGTGTAGAATACTTTCGTAATTTTACAAAATATTATAAATTTTAATTTAAAAGTCTTTTTCTTTGCACATTTTTCCTAATTTCAGTGGTAAACACTTGTTATTTAATGCATTGTTATTTTGATTTTGTTTTAAATTAAATGTAAGAGTAAATTATAGTAAAGTAATTATAGTAAATAATAGTGTAGTTCGTTTAGTGTCTTAAATCGTGTGTGCAGTGATTTTTAGCGTTAACGATATTTTTAAAGTAAAATTCTTTATAAATCAATGCAAAGTTTTTAAGTGATTAAATGATAAGATTTTTTCAAAACTTAATAATTATATCTAAATCTAGCTTCATTAAATACGTATCCATAACATCCCCTGTGTTAAATATTTTAAAAATGGCTGGGGTTGCCTCTAAAATAAAATCTGAGTTTCCTAATACCAAACCAGCAAAGAGAATCAAAGTTTCAGATGACTTGATTGTAAATAAAAGAACTGTTGGTACTATGTGTGGTGCATGGAGGCCAGAGGAAGAAGATGGGGGCTTCATTCTGGTATTTAAAACCAGGGAGCCCTGCCTGAGCCCAGACCCGGAGAAGGAGAGCGACCGTCCTGAGAATGCTGCGGATTTCTGGGTGGCATCTCCTTCAGACATCGATGATATACAGGTTAGTTGTCATATATTTCCATCAATATATTAATCGTTACAATTTATATCAATTGCTAGAAAATCCAAATAGAAAATGTTAGACAGGTTTAATTTGTAAACATACTCGTAGCGACATCTGCAATTTATACAGGGAAATACTTCAAACGCGTGAAAATTGTTAAGGAAGTAGCTCTACTTGAACTACATAGATGGCGTTGTATTAATTATTTATTAGTACGTAGTTCTTCTTTACGCTAACAGATGGCAGTTACATTTGTTTAATAAGTACAAAATTTGGATTAGCTACATTGCTTCGAAGTTCTACTTTTACTGTATAGATGGCGCTGTATGTATTGCATTTGAAATAGTAATTCATTACGTTAATGATAGATGACGGCTATTTTTAAATATATTATTTATATTTTTGAACACAATTAAATTATATTATGAGAACATTGTATGAATAACTTTTTTTATATTCATATCTGTAACAAGTTTATGCTTGTTACAGATATGTAAATAAATGTAAGTTTATTTATATAAATACAAAAATGCGTACATAACGAATCCGTCACTCCCAACTAAAAGCCCGCTGTGAAGACGCTGTGAAATCCATTGTATACTGCACTCTGACAATGGGCGTCCAGCTGGGTAGGTAGAAAGAAATTGGCTCTGGTTTGCCGGAATTGTAAATAGTTGTCGTAATTTAAGTTTGTAGGTATGACGGGACCCAGTTAGTTGTGCGATGAATAATTGTATATTTTCAATAACGCATCTTGAATATCGGCGGGGATAGTGCAATTACTATAGTCGTCACCAAATAGAGGCCAAATTTGTTACTTGTCATGCGTCACGAATAGGGATGTGGACTGATCATTATCGGTAATCACATTATACGACTTTCATGAGAAATCTATTCAAAATTTCAAGAGTTTGTGATTGTTTAGATTATTTTTCGGTTCATTGTTGTTCAGGGGGCCTAAAAGGCCAAATCGTGCTATTCTGTTAAAAGCAATTCATTTACAGAATTCCTTGCAATTCTGTAGCAATTCCTTTTATTTTTGTAAAATTGTCCCACATTCCAATGAATTTATCCAATTCTTTTAATTTTGATTTTACAATTTTCATAAATGGTTTATTACAAGAATTTAGTGAAAATAAGTATGTTCATCAATAAAACAATTACATAAAAAGATTAAATTGCCAAGAAACCAAGGATTTCATAAATTTTCAATTATTCAGCTGGCAATCGGTTAGAAGTTGTCAATGTCAACAACAAATAATCTCAAATATTGTTCATTATTTTTTCTAGTATGCTTTTTTAATATTTTTTCCGAGAAATCAAAGTGACTCAGTGAAACTTGGCGATTAATTGCTTACAACACTATTATTTAAAAAATTGAGCTTGCTTGAGAACGTAACTGTTTTCAGGACGTTTCGGAGTAACTCAAAATTGCATTTAATTTTGGAATTCGTGCGAAAACAGTACTTCAAATATGTTTTGTCATATTATATAATCTTTTCATAAAATTTATGTATTTTTTTAAACTCAATTATGATATAATTATCGAGTTCTTAGGTTTTCGCAATTGTTGCACATGACCGTACCACCTCAGTCAACCGTGACCATGGGACCTGTAAAAGGCGTGAAACGTCGGTTTGTTTGAAAAAACAAATATACGCGATTTAAATCCGGAAAAATAGTTCCATTTCCTATATGCTATAATTGTTTGTTTGTTATTATTTCGTTGATCGCATTCAAAGTTACATACTATCGACTTCTTTAGCTATGAAATTTGGCCTCTTATTTGGTGACAACTATAATAGCATTGGATAATTCCGTGTATCTGACATATGTAGCCAATTTCAGTTTTGTATTCTTGTGCACGTAGTTATATGATAGGGATCCACCTTCTTAACGCCAGAGACGATTGACCAAGAGAAAGCCAAAATCGGCTTATAAAAATACCGCGGATCTGTTGTGACGTGCACAGATGGGTAGTGGATTAAAACTCAGTCTGCCAAAGCGCCCGGTTTGAACCCGTTTCTGTCCAAAATTGTGGGCAAGTTAGCATGATTTACTGGAATCTATTGTAAAAATCAGAAACACCACTCTTGTACTAGTCGTTTAATAGTATTTTCAGACCCTAAATCTACAAGAGAACTGAACATCTTACCAATATCACACAGTTTTTATTAACTACACCTACACTACTACCCCACTACTGAACAGAAAAATGACTAATCAAATCCTATACTCAACACTTACTTAAAAAGTACCGGTACGTTATGATGGCCCTCATGAAGTTTGTCCGCTCATCAAGTTTCGTATTAATTCATAACTACGATGAAGGAGCTAATTGATGTACATTGTTGTCAATAGTGAGGTGCAGTAAAATTTATGGATGTATCATTTTACGACACAACTCGGCATTTGTTTATCGAAATTCGAAATTTTTGATAATGAAATCTTGTACTATCGTCACTTATAGGATCGCTGTCCAGCACAACTTCTGTCTCCGGCAAACTCGCGGTATATCTCAGCGCAAAACAAAGCAGTTTCGAATTGACGATATATTATTAAGTAAATATTTTTATTTTCGTTTTATTAAAACTTGTTAATCAGCTACTGCAAGGGCATTACTAGTAATAAATCTGAAAACTTATAGATGCGACTCGCATTTGATTATATTTTTTTTCGATAATGAATTGACATTTGACCTCACTATTTTAATCTGCCAAACTACCATCATAGCGTGCCGGTACTGTAGACTAAACATGTGTACTTTAAAACCATAGTTAAATTAACTTATAGTAATAAACATAATAATATACCTACTTAACGAGATGTATAATTGTAATTAATGAGCAATAATAAACAGGCTGTATAATTAGGTTCCTAAACGTTAACATTTCACATCACACGACTATTAAGTCCTATCTATACTCATGACTTCTTCAAATCAACAACTGTAGTCATTATCTGCACAATTATTGTTAATAAACATATTAAATAATTAACGAACGATAATAAATACATTGTATGATTAAAATTATAAAATGTTAACGGGCAATATAAATTAATGCTTACTGTGCAAATATGGAAGTCGTATCCTTTGAAATAACCAAATAATAACAATAACGTTAAAACCCTCCCCTGTAAAATTTGGTTTCATATAGATAAGCGCCTTTTACCAATGCTACATACTCGGCCTTTCACTATACCCGACAATATGACTTTTTGAACCATGGATTGTAATTTAGCCAAGCATACATTTGTTATAACCCACGGAAGTTTACTTAGCTGAATACACTCGATATGTAATGGAAGATATAAAAACAAATAATCTATTTTCACTTGGTATAAAACATTTGATATATTTTCTAAGGATATAATCACTCACTGTATATAATCAACAAAAGGTATAACAACAAAAGACATAATTTCAATGTGTATAATAAACCATCAGTATAATAAACATTAGATATAATGATTAGGTGACATAATGAACAAATAGTATAAGTACTACCAGTATAATGTATTAAATAATATAACATAATATTTAGTTTTACGAATATTTGAAGCGCTCTACATTATGTTGATAAGAATTTTTTTATTCCATTAAATGCACAATAGCAAAATATAATTGTTTTTGTATAGCTGTAAGTGCTTTTTGTGTTATAAAATATATTTATTAAAACTTTAAGCAGAATATTTAATTGCATATACTAACCTAACCTAAACCCACTAGGAGGTCAAACCTACTAGCAAATGTAAACAAATTTGATTCTGGCAGCTTTGTCATGTACTACCAAACCTAAATCCACAGGAGGAGGTCGAAGCAACTAGCAAATGCAAACAAATTCCGTTTATTCACCGTTGCACCTAAACACCACTGGAATTATATTAATTTTTTTTCACACATACACATTCAACATTATACTCACTGAATATTATATCTGAAGTGTTTATATAAAATGAACATTATGCCATCGGTATATTACACTGAAAGTTGTTATATCAATCGTCTATTGTACCCAGTGACCTTTATATCATGCAAGAATATGTCAAATGTCTGTATACCATAAATTAATTATATCTGTTGTGCGTTATATCGACTTAAAATATGTCATTTGTTGTTATATATTACGAATCGCACCCAACTCACGGGAGCAATTGTTAGACAATAATATTTTGTTACGTACTAAGTCAGACAACTGTGGTAGTGTAGTTTCTTTTCGAAATTGAGATTTGGTGATTATTTTCTTTTTTATGGTACACATGACACGCCTGTCTACAACAGTTGCAGTGCCACTCAGAGCTGTATACTGCATACTTACATAGCAGGCCTTGACCGGGAAGAAGCCGCACGGTCCATAAATTACAAACTTTCCGTGTTCGCTTTTTGAAAGTAATGTAAGCATTTTCGAGCATGTTTGTGAAAATTATTTTTTTGTCCACCTCTGAAGGTGGCAAATCAGGGGATGAACCCGATTTATTGGATTTCATCGGCTTTCCGTTTTGAGGTCGGTTTTTTTTTAAATAAAATAGTTGCATAAACTGTTCCCGTATTTCGCTTCGTTACTTCTTCCCGCATAAATGCAATTTCAAAGGCAAATACTGTGCTGTTAAATTTTTGCATCAATGGTTTTATTCACTGAGTTCAACTGGGCAGATTTTGTATAAGGAAATGGTTACGCGATTGTCTTCTTGACTATCAAGGCCTTACTACCACGGACCTTTCGCAGCGCACTTGACATTCATCCGTCACTTCCGCCACTCATATCAGTTTTCTCATGCACACTCACCCTTATGACTTAGATTGACGGGGGTACGGTGCTCCTTGGATAAACTTAATTCTTAGGATATTCTTATATTATTTAGTAGCAGTAGAGCTTCTTGTGAAGGGCTCGTCCAGGGAAGATCTATGTCTGCCGCCAAGCAGTAAAGTGAGCATTACTGCGTTCCGGTTTGGAAGAGAATGGTGTTAATGAAATTATAGGCACATGGGACTTATC